CGCCCCTGTGGCACCCCTACGCTATACAACCCTCTTACCTCCTCGCATACTCACACCGCCGCAGCCTGCTCAGCCCCGTGCACTTGCGGAGTGATCTGATAGGACAGAGGCCGCTCAGACGGGCACAGTTCCTTGCAGCCATGGGTGCACAGCTTTTCCAATCAGCCGCTAGGAACTGTGCCCGTCTGAGTGCCTGCGGATGTGCAGTATGCCGGCGGAGTGTGAGTCAGCTGCCTAGTTTGCCTAGCGGTAGTGCTGGCTCTACCTATAGTAACCTTTAGTTTCCATTGGTATAATGCAGGGGCACTGAATTACAATTCACGTAGGTCCGGTGAGCAAATTTTCATCGAGCCAAGGTCCATATTGGGGTCTTGACAGAACAGCCACTTAGTTAATTTCTGCACCGAGGTCTGCCATTTGGACTGCACTCACACCAGCACCTGCACTGCAACACACAGCTGCTGGTGTGTTTCCCCAGACACAGTGCTTGTCCTCATCAAAGTGCCCGTTCACATTGCTTGTCACCATCAGAGTGTCCCCTTACATTGGTTGTCCCCGTCAGAGCCCCTTCTTACATTGCTTGTCCCCATCACAGCACCCCCTTACATTAGGTGTAATGTACTAGGTGTACTAATGTAAATGGGCACTCCAGTGGGGGCAACTAATATTTAGTTGCTTGTCCCCATCAGAGTGCCATCCTACATTGCTTGTCACCATCAGAGTGCCCACTTACATTGCGTGTCACCATCAGTGTGCCCCCTTACACTGGTTGTCTCCATCAGAGTGCCCCCTTACACTGGTTGTCCCCATCGGAGTGCCCCTTTCACTGGTTGTCCCCATTGGAGTGCCCCCTTACACCGGTTTTCCCCATCAGAGTGCCCCCTTAAATTATGTGTCCCCATCAGAGTGCCCGCTTACTGTCCTCACATGGTTATTTGGGGTACCTTAGCTAGGAGATGAAGTCAGCAGACACAGCCAGAAGCAGCTGGTCTGTCCGGACCACGGTCCGACGTTTGTGGACCACTGGCATAATGAATGACTGCAACAATGAGAGCAATTTGCTGAGTTAATTTTTGGCTGAACCATGGTGATTTTCTGGATGTATATGGCATGCTAGGCTATGTTAGAAATAATTTTATAAATAATATGACTTCACCTAATATACCTAATACACCTAATATACTAAACTGTGAACATACACTTTGTAAAGTGAATATTTAACTCACAAGGTGAACAACTTTTAGTCCTTTATGAAAAGAACTGCTTTGATTGCTGACATGTACTAATGAGCCAAGGTGCATGAATTTGCTGTCACGGTGAAATAACATTACAATAATGCTGCTATGATTTTTTTTTTTTAAGTAATTGCTTCACAATCCTCTTTTTTTCAGAATTTTTATGCCAAACTTGATTCCTCTGAAAATTCCAGATGGAGAAAAAGTAGATTTTGATGTAAGAATGCCAGTTTTGATACCCCCTGTATTAATCATCAGAAGCAAATTTAAATCACATAATTAAATTATTATACAATGATTTATGGTTAAAAAAATATTCATCAAAGACCCCTCTGATTTCCCTCATGGAGGACTTGGTTTGTGGGTTTTTCCCCCAAAAATATTACTTCAATTATTCAATAATTACAGCAGGAAATTACTAAATAACTGTACAGTATTTGTAGTTCATGCTACTTTGGGCAAACAAAAGTTGCTTTTTCATAGAGACTCATCCGATCTACTGGGATTACTGCAGCAGAATAAAGACGTGGAAAAAGTGCCCTTGTATTTCCTTAGCTTGTGGGATGTTTTTGACCACATAGAAGAACAACTGTGCTAACAGTTTATACAGTATATACACTTGAAGCAGATATATGATGTCCTTTAACTACTGTGGGTATATGCCTTTGCTATGTCTTGTGTAATGTGAACTGTAGACACCCCTTCCTCTAGTGCTCTAGTGGCATAGAGGCTAGACCTTGTTTCTACAACAGTGCTTGCCTCTTCCACAAAAAACACACACAAAAAAGAAAATGTTTTTAGATAAAGCACACCCTTCCCTGAGATTCTTTCTATGTTGCCCATGTCCTTTTTAAATTACCACATAAAAAAGATGGGGGAACACAATTTCAGTATGATCACCACACAAGAGGTTCGGTATCACGAGTGAATGTGTATAGTTTTTAGCAGATGCCATGTGCTTTAATGGTGTATTTATGAAAATGTCACAGAATGGGTATTTGTTTTCTCTGCATTAAAATAACAGTGATGATTATAACATTGCCCGTTCTTTTTGTAATAGTAACTTTTAACATTGCCCTAACAGCACTGAGACCTTAATATACTGTATTTCTTTACAGGACATCCACAGAAAACGCATGGAAAAGGATCTTACAGAACTTCAGACACTTATTGTAGCTCACTTTGAGAATCGCAAAAAGGAGGAAGAAGAACTTTTGGCTTTGTCTGATCGCATGGTATTAAATAAACCTTATTATTTTAGTTACATTTAGATTGAACTAAAATTAAATAAGCATACAGCCTGTACATGTGCCACAAAAGCCATGTCATAGGAGTTAGAAACGTTGACATTGGTATACCTTCTGTTCACTTTTTTTTAAATGTTGCCACCTATTCACAGCACTGCTCTGGGGTGGAAACCCAGACTGTCAACACAATGCACTGTAATGTGCAGTAATGCACTACCGTGCATTGTGGTGCACTGCACTTGTGAGACTTGGTGGAGGAGCTGTGTGTGGTCTGTTGTGGTTTAGGTAGCCCATTCAAATGGATGGGCTGCCTCCATGAAAGCTCATTAACATGACTGCATTAAATCCATCACAACAGGCCACCTCAGTGTAAATGGGCCCTAAGTGTTAAAAGTCTCTCTTTCTCAAGAACTGGTATTTTATGTAATGGATCCATATTTTATTTACACCTGGAATGTGCCCTTTTTGCTGTACTGAATAAACACCTACTAGCGCCTCATAATTATTACCAGTCAGAAGCAAACTATATGTTAAAAAAGTGATAACCTGTATGCAGTGCCAGAGGCCTGGCCTTGGGGTGGCAGGGAGTAGAGGGGCGGTACAGCCACCGGGCAGGTACTTTTTTTTCTACATTTAGCTCTGCTTCGCGGCAAGCAGAGCTAAATGTAGAGCAGAGAAGCCGGTGTTTTAGTACAGGTGATGCCGCCGAGATCACTTGTAATATGCG